ACATGGATAGCGGCATAGACCATAATACCGATTGATAGATTGATCTCCGTCGTAAAATTCTATCGATTATTGCTGCGAAATGCCCTCATTAGCGGAAGTTCACTGTTTCCCAAAACAGATTTGAAACTGCCCGACAGTCTATTAATGAGGCTTCATTTCCATTTCATGCGGAAAAATTTGTTTACATTTGTCATTATCGTGTTAATGGTAAATTCTTCCTGCGTACATCGATCGGCGTACCGCATATATGTCTACCTAGCAATTCAAACTCTTACACTCGAAGAAATTGTGTTAAGGATTCTGTATTACCAGGTATTGGTTATCATTCGAACATTGTGCAATATTGAGAAAGCTTGATATCTCGCCGCCTCGGGACTGTATTACCCTGGTAAATTTATTACACAACCACCTTATCCTGATGTTCTTGTTTTCTGTTGTATCTTACAGATGTCCAGTCTCACTTCCGACTGCACCAGGGTACTCGCCAACTCGGTTGATTTGACCTGTGAAACTGTGGACTCGAGCATCAAAGTAAGCACAATGACTACTAAAGCAGACAGGAACCGCTCCCTTATTGCAACGCCTGTTCTAGGTTAAGTTATGTTTTCAGTCGTGCGGTTTTCATTATTCTTCATTGTAAAGTGAAGCGAGCTCCGTCTATCACGGTCATAATTTGTCCCAAGCAAATTAGAGTAGACCTGTTTCAAGAGTGTTAGAGGAAGTTAGGGTACAAGGATTATAGTCTATCTGAATACATACATCTGTTAAAACAGTCTTTCTCAATGATAAATGAGAATATGGGTACCTTTGTTGTAGGTTTCTTGTCTCCTTTGGTGTATTTAACCATCCAGTGCCATTTGCTTCCGTATCCCTATTCGAAAGATAACAGATCCCCAGCAATACCTATTGCAGTGCAGTTCTTCATACATCGTCTCCATATTGTCTGCTGACCTCCACATGGCTTTCTTTTCGCGGAAGCCGAAATGCCAACACCGCAGCATTGTTGATGATTCTTAGGTATATAGACTCCTAGGCCTAACCAATAAAATTCACTCATCTTTTACGTGAAACATCTACTACTTCCGTTTTACCAGCTGATTTTGCTTAGTCTTTCTGTCCATTTCTATCGAATTCTGGCAATTTTGTTTCAACAACTAAGGTGATCCAGACTTCCGTGACCGCAATCCATGCACGACGAGGTACAGTTTTATGTCATCTAATAACCGTTCACGAAGCTCGGCCAATGGTACACCGGGCGAACATGACATCCTAGTTGGTGCATATGCTACGTCGGTGCAAACGGTGACGTGATTGGAGGACGGTCGTTCAACCAATCATATGGACTATTACCTTCTATAAAACGTGCTCTAATTCCATCAATAAACGTAAGCATTTGCTGCTATCGATTCCTCGTGTGCTTCATTGGTGTCCGCAGTTCGAGTTGGAGCTAATCCAGTTCTGAACAGTACATTACGGGTTCTCGTATTTCAACATTCAGTACTATTCTGATTACCACAACACCTCAATTTTTCTCCTGATCCGGGACTTGTTTTGTGAATAGGTCATAACTTGGTTCACCGTCAATCGGAAAGGAGACATGGAAGTGGGAAATCAATGCTTTCGTTAACCAGTCGTGCACTTTGTATATCGAAACGTAATTCTAACTTGATATAGCGCTGCATTGATTAAAGCCGACTGTCTGGCGGAATGTAGTGAGAAAACACATTTTCAATGAATGGTAAAATATTTCCTTTCTCTTATGGACTGTTGTGTGAAATAACCACTAACAGCTGTTTTGTCCTTCGTGTGATTCATCAGCAGTAGGATACAAATGTACATAAACTGATATATGAATCCGTATAGATTGAATAACAACAGTCTTCTTTTCGGCCCTCAACCAACAAAATTACAATGTTTGTTATGTTTTTATGATTAATGCAAATGAAAAACCTACTGGTATAGAGTTCAAACCTAATTGTCACTACCGAAATTCCTTTTTCCAGTCGTTCTCTGACAGCTCGTTGTGGTCTCGGTGTCATGAAAAACGGAATAAACAAACTCTATTGATCTTTTATCTCATGATTGTAACCACTGTTTTTTTTCTCACCCTGGATGCACACAACTTTGACGCCCTCCGAACGGTCACTTTCCCGTTTACTCTGCATGAACATGACAGCATCCTCAGAACGGTTCGTGACTGAGTGTTATTATCATAACTTTGCTGATTTTCATTTACACTTCCGCTTTCCTTTTTCCAGGCTCTTTATGCTCTTATGGCAAAATGCGAAGAACTCTCAAAAACCATGAAGAATCTAGAACCTATGGAGAAGGAAATGTATCCTTTTTACTGAATAAATGCTTTTGTTGCACAGTCAAAAGCCATTTTTTCTAGGTATCAGCTACTTTTAATATCTGCTAGATTTTGAGAACTAAAGTGATTGAATTAATCCCAAAAACACGTCTATCCATCATTGTCAGCATGTGTCTAAACGTACTCCGATTAGTCCAGAAGAACGCGTTTGTTTTCCGTACTCTGGAAACAATTGTGCTTTTCAAATCCCAGTAGTTTTGTTACACGAGAAAAATTTGTCATGTTTATTCCATCATTCATTTGGTTAAATATACTGCGATTACTCTATTTGCACATTGTACCACTAAGGTTCAGCTGAAAATTTAGAATTTCTCTCGAAATCAGTATTACCGGTGTTTGAGAGGGATGCTACACCTCTTTATTTCTCTTTAAAGTTGCCCAATACAAATTACTAGGTTACTTTTCATGATACGCCTTGCCGTGGTCCATACCAAATCCGATAACTGCCCATCTTTTCGAGAGACTGTAACGAGTCCTGACGAGATATGTGGATCCATGTTAGCAAAGTTTAGGGCTTATCCAGACCACCCCACCCCTTGTTAAACACTTTCGAAGTAAAATGATGTTGGTCAGGTCCTCCTCCATTGATTTCTTGTGGAATCTATAGTTTTCTAAATATTGAGATTCGATTTGACATCATTCGTCTGACGGAATAACTGAGGTGTGCGCTTGCTACTTTTGATTGATTTGCTTCTGTAATCTGTTCGATAGGATTAAATATCGTTAATCCTAACTTATTCCATGACACGACAGAATGTCGAAACTGGTTCGGGTATCATTATACAATAGTTCCGCGGAGGGACGAGTAGTAAAGTGTTTTGATTGTAAAGACATACAAAATAGCAAAATATGATCAACTGTTTGGTAACCAGTGTGACTTGTGCTCTATGGCTTACAAGAACTAGAAAAAGCAATCATGGGATTTATCGCGATAAATAGACTACAGTCTGACCATACTTATAATAACATGCATGAAAAAGCTTTCCAGCGAATAATCGCAACCCCCACCTTGCCAAAACAGGTGTCGAGTTGACTTCCGAGTGTGAATTCGTTAGGGTTCTTGATGAAATCAAATGAAAATATACAGTGGTCACTAGAGGCGTGTCTGAGAATAATGAGCTCCTGGTGTGTCATACCACCGTCCATTTCGATCTATATCTGAAAATCCCGTTATACCAAATGATTAGAGAGAACGGTTTAATATATATTATTATTACATCATATTTCACACATGTCTGTGTACCACCCAAATCTCAATACAATGAGCTTTATAAACGGAAAATGCCTCATAATTTGCTTGTGGGTGCAATGCTGCCAGGTTTTCTAGGCCAAGGCAAGTGAAGTTTCTGGTTTTGCAAAGAACTTGCGCTTCTGACAAAAGTTAAATGGCAGTAGCTTTCAATTCTAAAAGGAAAGCCACAACAGCTCATTGGTTTCCTTCAAACCAGTCCACTATAGTGTTAATGCATTGTCAATCGGTCTACACTATAAGTTTGGTATGGAGCAACACACGTTGCTGCACTAATTTTCTTCCTAGAATGAGATCGATTTTGATTGGAAACGTGGAAATATTGCATGTATGATCCTTTGAGCTTGGTGCAGTTTGTACTCGTGTCGGATGTCAAAGGATGTGATCATTTGCATATTATCTTTGACGCCCTTAGAGATCATTTTGATTTTCAATTATGAAATTCCCTCTTTTGCACCTAGGTTATTGTTGCGAATCTTTCGTATGTCGTATCTAATAATGTTATCTGGAAAATGATACAAGATAGTCAAAAACAATTGTTTTTCACGTGTAAACACGTGAAACCACGTACTAACTTCCTTACAATGTTTCGCATAGTGACGCTGTGAAGAAAACATTAGATAAATTCGAAGAGGCGATACGAACTTCGGTAAGATGAGGAGCATCAAAATCGAGTAAGAACTCGGTGTCACTTGTTTCGGACGAATTACCTGTCGAAATACGATCACGTGACACGCATTTGTTCTTCTGGTATTCAGGCTTGTATCCAACTTATTTTTCTCACTTATTTCCATTCTTTCTTGACTCATTTGGAAATGTCAACTCCGTCACGACGGTTTTCAAAAGTCTACAGTTAGCCAATATGGTTACCACCAGTTTCATTCTACTGGAAACCCTTCAAATTCCTATATGTTTTGATGGCTAATATCAGGTTGGTCTACGATATCTGTTGTGCTTTTTTCTGGTTTGTATTCACTCATTGGAAAGCACTGGAGTCAAAGGTATTGAACACAAATAGGACTCAGTCATCGTATGCGTCCAACTCGATTGAATAGTTTTTTTAGAACCTACGCTAAGTGCTTTTATCTACAGGGTATTTGCCTCGAAGAGTAGAGGAAAGACAGAACCTAGTAAATGAATTGCAATACTAGAATAATTTAATCTGTTCGTGTAATAGATGAGAAAATATTAAGAATGACCTAAATGCGCCATGTGAGAAACATGGTATCTCGTTTCAGCGTCATACGACTGCCTAGGATTAGGCTTCTTAAGTCAATCGATCCCACTGCTGCAGTCATCGATCTGTGACAATTGAATACTCTGATGCACTGGAGGTAATACGTTCAGTGGCCAACGTTGCATTCTATCCTGATATGCGCTATGATTGTCCATAAATCCTCCGGCAGTTCATCTGCAAGTGAAGTTGGCAAAGTAGTATTGCCCAATTTCATCCCTTATGGGCATTCATCCACGAAATGGCTTTTGAATACCTTCAGAAATTCCGCAAACAAACGGCTGATTGCAATGGTAAAAGAACGACCTCATATGTTTCGACACACTTATCAAATATTTGACAACCCCGCAGAGGTTATGGCTGACCCAACAGATACTAAGCACCTATTCAATGGTACGGCCATATTGTACCTAATGCCGTTAAGTTTGGCGATCTACATGCGTTGCCGGAGCGCCGTCGAAATTCTCCTCGAATCCAATTTATGCAATCCAATGGAATGCAGTTTTGCATCTGATGTTTACGTACAAGCACAGGGCCACCCTGGAGGAGACCTCTTGGAATTACTGCCAGCATGTATTGCTGTTCGACGTCAGTTTTTGGAAGTTCTACCAGTATTGTTCCGAGTTATACCTCCCCCACGCTGTATACCCTGTTCTCCGAGAATTTCATTCACTTTAAACTATGTTAGCAAACGTGTGCAACGGAGTACCATTTATGATGATATTTTTCATTATGTTACGGAAGTGGCCCAGTTTAATCGTCATATTAATGTGGTTCGGACTTTGGACATTCTGATCACTCGTTGTCCCGGGTTTTACGTACCCGGTCGACTCGATGAAAATCGGAAGTTACAATCATATTCACTCTTTCGTCGGTTACTCCACACCGTCTTGTTCGTGGATACGGATAATCGACTGTGTTTCCCTCTGATTCAGTGTATGGACCTTTTAGTACGGTACTCTCATTTCCAACCGGAATCTGTGATCAGTAGTTCCCCGAATGCACCGAACTCGGTGATCACTTTCAACAATGTGCGGGATGTTTGGATAAATTTGACAGATTGGACTAAGGACTGCTACATCTGCGTGGCTTTGTTATTCGAACTGTATGCCTTACTTCTGGACAAAACAAAATCCAATGCTGTCGGGCATGCGGGAAATTTACTTTTCCGTGTTCTAATCGAGACCAACTGTTTTGACTCGGTAAACGCAATGAATGTCGACGAACTGGCAAAGACACTGGATTTTGTACTGAAACATGATTGTGTCGGTCGGGAACTTCAACAAAACCGTAAATCGCTCAATACACCGAAAAGTCGCGTTACTGTTGAATGTGGAGATTGTCGGAATGTGTTGTTCTNTTGTTCTTCTCGTTTGTTCGCTCGCAGGACAGTTTGAATTTGGTAATGGATAAACTAAAGGCGCGTTTTAAATTGGCCCAACTGAGACGTATGCATATTCTTTGTCTAGCACGTTCGAATCGTTTGGCTCTAAATGGCCATCAAGCCCCCCGTCGTTTTAGTGTCACACGTTTTGATCCGAGTGTTGCTGCCAGGAGTGCAGCTTATGCTTTGCGGCACCAATGGGTGAATGACTTGTGCCGGTTTGGTAGGTTCGAGAGACAAACTAGTGTTAGTCTAGCTACTGAATCGGAGCCGCACATGTTCTCTAAATACGCGAATCCACGAATGAATATTATAAACCG